GAATGCTAAAATACACTCAAGGGAAAGCAATGAGGACATAGTGTGTTTTGCATTCCCACTTCAACGAACGGAGACTCGGGAGGTCACCGGACTACGACCCGCAAGACATTACAAATCCCGAGTGGCACTGGAGAAGGCCCGGCCACCCCACATCGGGTGTAGGATCCGTGGCTTGGAGTGAGCCCTGCTCTGAAGATCGCGGCACATATACCCCAGTCACATAGGGAACTAACCGGTCCCACTGGTACGTAGGTCCAGAGCTTGTACTTGATACGAAAGCTTACTGGAAGCCAGTGCATATCATGGAGAGTGGGATTAATGTGCTCCAAGTGGGCTGCGAGCCGCCGCATTCTGCACGACCTAAAGCTTCTGCACCAGGACACGTGGAAGCTCTGCATCGACAGAGGGCATTGCCATAGTCAAGAATTGTCGACACAAAGCCATGGGTCAATGGTTTGAGGTCGAGCTGATAGGAGAGGGCACAAACCAAGGAGTTGGTGAAGTTGAAACAATCCAGATGTGACCACAGCCACCATCACCTACCTCCACACACATGTTCAGACTGTAGTCAAATCAAACCCCCTACGTTACATACTTCGGGCAAGATGTGAAGCCGGATCGCGTTAATAATCAGAAGTTCGACCGTACCCCTGGCCCAACCTGAATCTAGGATCAGAGACCACAATCATTACCTCTGTCTTGTTAGGATTTAACTTTAGGCAGTGCTGCTCCGGCCAAACAGCTAACCTTGGACAGACGATGCAGAGAGACACGACTCAGGTGTGTGGGTAAATGAGGCATAGATCTGCGTGTCATCAACACATTGATGGCAGCGCAGGCCTGCGCCTCTGGATGATGCTCCCCAGCAGCTGAACTTAACTCATTGAAAAGCAGTGGTAATGACTGACCCCTGCGGGACTCCAAACGTGACAGGCCCCCTTGGGTGACACATGGGAGCCCATGGGCACCTTTCGTGGCCTACCTGAAATTGAAAAAACATAGGCGATCCACTTCAAGGCGGATCTGCCAATTGCTGCCAGGGCCTGTAGGCGGTGTAGCAGAACTGCAAGATAAAGGGGAAGATAAAAAAAAAGTTATCTATATCTTCTTCTTTCGTGTTGCATGTAAGCAACAGGTAGTATATATGTCATAGTTGAATGGTAAGGTCCTTCAAACCAACCCATGGCGACAGTAGATGCTGTATGGATTGTATAGATGATGTCATAATTGAATGATAAGGCCTTTCAACCAATCCAAGGCAGCAGTAGATGCTGTACAGATGGCAGCGATACCTCCAGGGTGTGCGTGGAATGGCGCACTCGTCGGTGATGCATTTGATGTTTTGGGCTTTAGCAGTCACAGATTTGTGAATCTTTGATTTTCCATTTATGGAACACTGTGTACAAACGCACAATCTACCGTGCTGCGCCCGAGCGTGGCTCAGTGAGGTCCACAGCCGTCATGAGAGAGAGAATCTCGGCATTTCCACAGCCCACCCCTCAGACCATCGTGATTTGTATGAGATACTAGCGGTAAGTACCCGGCGTTGCTCGGGCAAAAAAGGAAGATACACACATGGACTTACACACAGACATTGACCCACACACATAGAAACACATCAACTTAGACGCACACACACATATATATGGTTAAATCCAGGAAACGATCGTTAGCAGGCCAACCTAAATGTTTCTAACCGGTGAAGATGTTCCATTAGGGGGGTGCACGTTTCGCAAGCGTAGAGAAGGGAGGGAATTACCAGTGCCCGAGAAGACCTGGAGCTTCATGGAGCGAAAGACCAGGTAGCTTCCACACAGCGTAACACAGCCAATGAAAAGATAATGGCGCTCGACTGATTTGGAGTGAGACCTCTGCTGTTAAACCGGAGCCGGTCATGAGCACATTGGCTAGGTATGGGAATCTCGGCAATCTCTCCACAACTACCGCATCACCAATTGTGAGTTGTGGGGGTGGATTGTTCGATGGTACAAAATACCCAGGCAGGTGCTTAGTTTTGGTGGGGCTGATAGTAAGGCTCCACCTCTTAGTGGCAAGCTCCAGGTTCAACCGCAGTGAGCAGCAATCACCAGAGCATCGGCATACATAACATGGTTGAGCAATAGGGAGGCATCCCTTGACCGCACCCGGGCATCGATCAGCCTCCCATTGTATCTGTACCATATGGTAATTCCTCGGGAACAGCCATTGAAGGCTTCACGAACTACGTGGTCAAAAGATGTTAAATAATGTGGAGCCAGAGGACATCCCTGTTACACCCTAAGGTGTAGAGGGAATGGCTCTGACTGACGGCCATGTAGTTTTACGCGGGGCCGCTCACCATCATGAAGGTCCTTAAGGATCATGAGCAAAGTTTGAGGGACTCCGAAAGCATGAAGAACAACCCAGAGGCCAGGCCTACTGATGGTATCATAGGCCTTGAGCAGGTCAATAAAGCACATACATTCACTCACTCACATGCACACATGAAGCTACAGACACGCAAAGAAATGGACTTACACTGACTCACATGGAGCCATGCACACAAAGCGACTACCACAGACAGCCATGGACTGACACACACAGACATCGACTCACACACACAAACACATGGACTTACACACACATACATAGACTGACACACATTGCCCTACACACACATAGACATATGGACTGTGACACACAGACATCTACTTTAGATACACACACATGGATTAACAAACACACATCGACACACATAGACACACAAACTTACATTGACTTACACACTCAGATGGAGCCATGCACACACATCCACTCACACACACGCATTGACATACACGCATCGAGTGAAACACAGACGTATGAACTAACACACACGTGGACTAACACACACACAGCGACAGATACGCACACAAATGGACTGACACACACACACAAACACTTGTCCGTACACACACACGGGGCGTTGTCCATTTGAAAAAGACAGACACACACATGGACCCACACACATAGAAACCCATCGACTTACACGCACACAAACACATGGACTCACACACACAGACATCGACTTTAGGCACACTTATCTAGTTTCTGCACACGAACATTATAATAGTAATAGAGTATTAGGCAACTTATTTGTTTAATAATAGTAAACAATACACCTGAGTTTTTAGCGAAAGATTGAATAAAATTGTACTTTACATTGGCGTGGTGACGCCTCGTCCCGTGCAGAGCCCGCGGCCTCGCCTAGATTGGCAAGCCGGAGGTGAGACGTTGCCAGGCTGCGAGCTGGGCCGCTACCCCCCCCCCACCATCCCCCCACCCTCGCCATAATAATACTATGTAACCGCTTTAATAATATAAAATTAATATCTAAGGACTTTATATGAGTAACTGCACGCATTGGGGTGGGGGGGGAAGAGGACATCACACTGTGAAGATAAATCGGCAGCGTGATGTGTATATCTATTCCATGTTAAACGCGTAAAATAAAATGTCTCCCGTGAGCTGGAGCGAACGTGCATGACTTGGCAGGGTCCGCCCCCCCTAACGCAATTGGCGTCACTTGGTACGGTCGATGTCGTGCAATAAGTAAATAATGAATAATAGAAACGGCACAAATGTGTTAATTAAACTACTTTAAAGTTTACGGACGGGAAAACGGAATAGCCTAAACCCACCACGGGGCTTAGGGCGTGCCGCCTGGAAAATTATTTCGGTCTTAAACCCCACCATCCGAGAGCCAAATCCCCCGCAAGCGCGAGCGCGCGGAGACTTTTATATATAAGAAGAAGAGAAGAGAAGATGGAATCTGGTTACATTCACAAATGAGCTTCCTTCTTTAAAAAAAAAAAACATGCTTGGGCATTACAGGGTTAAATCCATGGAAACTGTTGGTCATGGCTTCAGGGTGAAAATACGTTTAGGTCCACTGAAATAGATCACGGTGCTTCGTGTATTGTCTACCACTGCAATAAACCGGAGTTTATGGGGCTGATATGAAGCCCTCAAGAGCCTCAATTAGGCGAACCAAACATCGCGACTAAGCCACACTCTCAGGAGAACGCAGACAAAGCCGCACTCGCGGATATGGGTCATGGATATGGTCACTCCCTGGCGGGTGAGGCATGTCGTCATTGAAATTACAGCTGTTTTAATTAACGAACCTGTGGAGCATATGCAATATGGACTAATGAAGCACACATGCAAAAACTCAAATTAATACGCAGGGGAGGGCGGTAATGAATGATGGAATGTTAAGTGACAACTACTGTATTTTCTTCTGTTACAGAGGCTTACATACTTGGTGCCCACAGTAAAACACAGTACCTGTGAATTGACTTTACAATGTATATAAAGACACGATACATAATAAATACTGAGTTATACACCCTTTAATATACTGATGACGGACGCTTGTGTTGCACCCGAAACGTCGTGATTTATTTTATTTGAATACCTACGTGACTTTACCGAAAGAACCAAAGAGTATAAACTTATTCTGATAAATTATACACAGAATTGTTATATATGTGCCATATAGAGCACTATTATGGCTTCTTAAAATACTTTGTAAAGAATGAAGTTGAAACTTTTAGGAAAAATTGTAATAAAAAAAATAACTAAAACATGACCCAATTGCTTCCAATGCAGTCACCCCCAACCCGAGGTGTACATGTCACATTACGAGCTCACCTGGACTCAAAAAGGCTCCTCAGGGCAATGGGTAAATCCGCAGGGCGCTGCAGCACGCACCAGGCAGCGAGGAACCTCCCATCGCGCCTGAAGGCTCACGGTCACGTGGTCCCCAAAACGCATATAAATCAGCAGATTCCACGAGCATCACTGATATGCTCTCAGTTCAAGCAACGAAAACAAGGTGAGTTTTTAATATTTTTGTGCCATTTTTCATCACTGTTATTTACATAATTGGTGAGCATTTTTACACGTTTTTACGAGTCATATATATTTCTTAATTCATCTTTTGTGACCTCAACAAGACTTTAATGATAATTATGTCTCGTGCTGTAGATGCAGTAGCAGAAGCAAGGCATTGATGGAGAACAAAAGCTCCGTGCTCTACCTCGCCACATTTGAAGCCCCGTACCCTGTGCAGGTGCTGATATTCAGCCTGTGCCTTGCGATGTACCTAACTATAACTGCAGCCAATCTGCTGGTGCTTTTGATGGTGGCAGTTTCCACAGACTTACACAAGCCCATGCACATATTTCTGTGCAATCTTGCGATTGGCGACATCATTGGCAGTACAAGTGGCTTTCCCAAACAGCTGCACATCCTCCTGACGGGAAACAGAGAGATTCTGTACCTGGCATGTGTCGCACAGATGTTCACAGATCACATATTCATCCTAAATGAGGTTTTTACATTGGCTATTATGTCTGTTGATCGCTACCTAGCCATCTGCTACCCATTGCACTACCACACCAATGTTACAGTAAAGAGATCCATTTTCGCGGCATTACTGTCCTGGATGATTGCAATGGTTGCAGTCAGCGTTCAAGTGATCCTAATCCTTCAAGTTACATTGAAGGAAAACGACAGACAAATCCAGGGTATAGCATGCGACAATATGGGAATATCAAAGTTAGCCCTCGGTGACGTGAGCAAAGTAGAATCTTACGGATTATCAATGATCGTGATGTGCATTGGCGTTCCTCTCTGTATCATTGCGTACACCTACGTTCGGATTATTGTCGTATGCAAGCGCTCGAGTTCCTCCGAGTTCAGGACAAAGGCTCTGCACACATTTGGCACGCATTTCATGGCACTCGCCGTCCTTTTCACGTCCATATTTCTAAACGTCCTCGTGCCGCGCTTTGTGAAGGATGCGAACAATGAAAGCACACGAAACCTGAGATCCGCCAGTCAATTGGTATTCTTTGTCATCCCCGCTGCGAACGTGCTCATTTACTGCCTGCGCATGAGTGAGCTGAGGATCGCAATTGATAAGCGGTTCAAGAAGATCTCGCGTAAGATGCATTTCTGTCCGACGATGAAAGTTCATGTTTTCGGTCGCGGTTGAATCATGTCTTACGCCAAGTATAGAAGTCCCAATTTTTGTTCACGTAGCGAGTACAAACTTGTATTAACACTACCGAGTGCACATTTGATGGCACAACGTACACCATGGTACCTAGGTGGTGCATTTTATAGCATACGAATTTGTGCTTACTGTGCAGTTAAAAGTATCCACTGCTGAATAAGAGAGCTTCATATCCGTGAAGCTGGATATAACATACTCTTTGGTTCTTTCGGTAAAGTAACGTAGGTATAAAATAAAAATAAATCACGACGCTTCGGGCGCAAAACAAGCGTCCGTCATCAGGTTGGAAAGGAGGTGGGAAAGCATGATGAATTATAATAAAATGTATATGTTTCTCTGTGTTTTGTTCTGCGAGCCACCAGTGGAGTGGCGACCCACAGTTTAACAACCGCTGCATTACAGTGTCTGCAGTGGGTAACACTCAATCCTCACAGCAAGGAGTGTCTGGGTTCAATTCCCGAATCGGGCACCTTTCTGTGTGCAGTCTGTGTGTTCTCCCCCTGTTCTGCATGGGTTTCCGAGAGTTCTCCGATTTCCTAGCAACAAAAAACACAAACTGCAACTGGTATCGGCCAAACATCTAAACGTAAAAAGCAAAAACAATACATGCAAGTGACCAAATTGGCATGAACGCAGAAACATCGTCCCGACTGTGAAAGCTTGTCAGGATTCTCCTAAAAAGGAGTCTTGAGACCTAGTGAGGTTATCTCGGGAAAACGAGCAGATTAAGAAATAAAAAATATGTATTGAGCCCAGAGGAGGCACCCAGACACTGCCCCCATTAAGCGTGGGGGTGGCGGCTAAACACAGCACGGGGAGACGCAGCCCCTTGAGACCCTGGGACAGGCCGTCTGTGTCTCATCCCAATCCCTGATCGTCGTGAGTCAAGTTTGGATAAGAGGCAACTGAAGAGGGTCGTCCAGCACCACCCCTGGGAAATCTTAATCTTGCAGAACTCTTGTAATAAAATGTCGATATGTTTTTTATGTTTTATCTTCTATGTGATTGTCGAGCCCCAAGTGTGCGCTGTGTCTATGCATTTCGGTTACCCTGCTGCCGTCAAAACGTCTCTGTAGTTTAAATACACTAACTGCTGCCGTCCGTGTTGTATGATGGGTCAGCTGGGAACGAGCCTGCCAACACTTTTGACTCATCAATGTGCATCATGGTTTGTAAATTAATTTTAACACCATCATGAACAAAAATAAACATGTAATGACCACATCACTGCGTTCTTTGTCGATATTCTGGGGAGGTTCGAGGGGGAGACTGAGAATAAACAGGAAAATCTAAAGTGTCATAACAAATCGGGGCAACAAAATATCTCCAAACATTCAAATTGATGTCACGTTTTAACTGTATATATGTCTACATTTATGTATTGTTAACCCTGTATATTTGGAATTGTTGAGTCCTCAACAGGTGAACTCAATGCCGCGATTTCCCAAGCAACCTCGAGAAAAGGACTCCGTATGTTCTTCAACTGTTCTGGCCTCGCATATCGATGTGCCCAGGTGTTCACGTTAAGCCGCTTTGTGTATCAAGTTTGGCCTTCTTTTGACAGCCGGTTGCCCGTGTTAACGTGTTGAGGTTAATTACAGCCCATAAACCAACGTTTTTAGACTGTCATTAACCCCTCCCTCCAAGTCTTCATTAAGCGACCCCACATCACGACAAGTTACCTCCTCCCCTAGCTCACCTCATCAGCCCCTCCCCATACGTCAAATCCATGATGATTTCGCTTTCGATTTAAAGCTTTCGTGACTGCAGGGATTTATCTTGGTTCTTTCGGTAAAGTCACGTAGAATGGAAATAATAAAATAATAAAAATTAAACATAATAAAATAATTTTCACGACGTTTCGGCCACAACGCAAGTAGCCGTCCTCAGGTGAAGACCAGGTCTGTCGGGGAGACGCTGTCAGACCTGGTTTTCACCTGAGGATGGCTACTTGCGTTGTGGCCGAAACGTCGTGAGAATTATTTTATTATGTTTTCTTTTATTAATTTATTATTTCCATTCTACGTGACTTCATCGAAAGAACCAAGAAGATTTCGCTTTCATCATTTTTCCCGCAACTTCTATTGCAGAACTCTCTTCCACCATCTCTAAGGACCGTCCCCACTTCCTCTCCCCTCGATCCCATCCCTGCTTCCCGTCTGTCCCCGCTAACTTCCTCTAATTCTCACCTACCGAGTGCCCCTATTTAATTACTCCTTCTCCTCTTGGTGTCTTTCCCGTTGTATATAATCCACCCATTATTGTTCCCCTCCGCAAAAAAATAATAGTCTCTCGATACTTCTGGCAATTTCTCCAAACTCTAAAAACGCCTGGTACACTCTCGTCTTACCATCTACATATCCTCTAACTCCCTCCACCGTCAATTCCAATCCGGCTTTCGTCCCTTTCATCAACTGAAACGGCTCTGCTCGTGCTGGTCTCTCTTCCATTCCGATACTCCGCGATCTGTCCTCAGCTTCTGACACGGTTGACCATCCTCCTCTTTCCTCTACTCGCTCTTCTCTTGGCATTTCCGACACGCCACTTTCCTGGCTAAAGTTTGATCTCTCTCTGCGCACCTCTGCGGTCTCATTCAATCATTGCCACATCGCCCCCCCCAGCCCCCTTCACTGTTGGTTTCCTCAAGGGTCAGTTCACGGTCCCCTACTTTTCTCTCTCTCTATTTCAGCACTCGAATCTCTCCTTACTTCGATGAACTTTCCCCATCATTTCTTCACGGATGACATCGACATTTTCTTCTCCTTTCCATTCATTTTCGCCTGACCTCGCTTCCAGCATCTCATATATATATTTCCCTGCCTCCCGTTTCTCTCCTCCCTGCCCCACCATCTCTTTCACTCCTTTATCTATTTCCCTGGTTTCTTCAGCCGGAAACCTTGGTGTTATCTTTAACTTCCCTCTCTCTCACCGATCACATTTCTGCCACCACCCGCGCTTGCCGGTTTCAGTTATTACTTCCCAAAATCCGACCACTTATTTCAACCTCCGCTGCATATGTCCTCATCCATTCCGCTATCTTAACTCGTCTGGACTGCTGTCACTCTTTTATCACTTGGTCTCCCCATTTACGCCCCCCCCCCCTTCAACAAATCCAAAAACACCTCTGCACGTATCATATTCAGCATTCTCTACAATTCTAATACCTCGACTCTCCTCGCTCAACTGCATCGGCTCGCCGTTTATCATTGTTGTCTGTTCAAATTCCTCATGGTCTTGCCCCCACCTTATCTTACCACTCTTGTATCATACTACGTCCCTTCTCGCGCTCTACATTCTCAAACTTTGCCGTCTCTCTCTCTCTGTTCCTTCTCATCTTTGCGCTCAATCACACTTTCGCTTTATCTCTTCTTGCCCAGCCTTCGCTTGAACAAACTCCCCCCTCCACATTAGGCAGTCACATTCGCTCACTAATTTCTGCTCCTTCCTAAAAACTCACTTTTTTTCCCTAGCTCATCTCACAGCCCCTTAACCTGCCTCTTCTAACTTCTTCCGTTACTTCTTCATAATCTCTCTCCTTGGCCCTCTCTCATTCCCCATCCATCCAAGCCATTCGTCATCATTTGCTCTCGTATTTTTTTTTACCTCATTCACGCATCACAGGTTTTCCCATTACTTCCACTAATCGATTACATTCACCTCATCTTCACCAGTACATGTGCAGCGCATTAGTCAGTGCGCTATATAAATTACGTTGAGAAAAGATAAGCTACGCTCTCAGGGGAGAGCCAGGCTCGTGAAGATGGGTCACTTGAACGGTGATCCCCACGGCCACAGCCCGAAATGTCGGCGTTGACATTACGGCAGTTAATGGGTTAATTAGTGAGCCTGTTGAGCAATAACACCCCCCACTAGGAAGGCAAAGGGACTAATTAGTATACAGGTAAGACCTCAAGTTGATACCCAGGGGCAATAGTAATGAATGATGGAATTCTAAGTGACATCTCATTTTATTATGTTATGGAGGCTTGCATCCTTGATGCCTCCAGTAAAACTACATAGTAACTGTGAATTGATTATACAGTACCGGTATTTAACGCCACTAAACATAATAAACAAAGAGTTGTACATGCATGAATACACAAACAAAATCAACTTATACTGTTAGATTATACGAAGTATTTTTTACATGTGAGCCATATCCTGTATAACTTGCTTCTTAAAATATTTTTGTAAAATAAGTTAAAGCATTTTAAAAACATTTATAAATGCAATTTTTTTACTGGAAACCTGACCTAATTGCTTCTAATGCCGTGACCTCCCAACCCTAAAGTGTACACGTCACGTTACGAGCTCATCCGGACTCAAAAAGACTCCTCAGGGCAATGGGTAAATCCGCAGGGCTGCTGCAGCACGCACCAGGCAGCGAGGAACCTCCCATCGCGCCTGAAGGCTCACGGTCACGTGGTCCCCAAAACGAATATAAATCAGCAGATTCCACGAGCATCACTGATCTGCTCTCAGTCCAAGCAACCGAAAACCGGGTGAGTTTTGTTACGTTGTTTTGCCATTGTTCATCATTGTTATTATACATGTTATGAGTGTGCATTTGTAAAAAGAAAATCAAGAGACTTTGAAAATGTAAACAATTCACCTTTTGTGACATCAACAGGGACTGCGTGATAAGGTCTCGGGCTGTAGACGCGGGAGCCCAAGGAACGCAATTATGGACAACAGAAGCTCCGTGCTCCACCTCGCCACATTTGAAGCCCCGTACCCTGTGCTGGTGCTCATATTCAGCCTGTGCCTTGCGATGTACCTAACTATGACCGCAGCCAATCTGCTGGTGCTTTTGATGGTGGCAGTGTCCACAGACTTACACAAGCCCATGCACATATTTCTGTGCAATCTTGCGATTGGCGACATTGTTGTCAGCACAAGTGGCTTGCCCAAGCAGCTGCGGGTCCTCCTGACGGGCAACAAAGAGATTCTGTACGTGTCATGTGTCGCACAGATGTTCACAATTCACGCATCCGCCTTAAATGAGGTTTTTACATTGGCCATTATGTCTGTTGATCGCTACCTGGCAATCTGCTACCCATTGCATTACCACACCAAGGTTACTGCAAAGAGATCCATTTTCACGGCATTACTGTCCTGGTTGATTGCAATCGTTTCAGTCAGCATTCAAGTCACCCTTCTCATTTCACTTCAATTAAGCGAAAAGAACAGGCAAATCCAGGGCATAGTTTGTGATAATATGGGAATATTTAAGTTAGCCGTTGGTGATACGAGCAAAATAGATGCGTACTCAACGTCAAAGATCATCGTATTCATTGCCTCTCCTTTCTGTGTCATTGCGTACACCTACGTTCGGATTCTTGTCGAGTGCAAAAACTCGAGCTCCTCCGAGTTCAGGAGCAAAGCTCGGCATACATTCGGCACGCATTTCATGGCGCTCGCCGTCTTTTTCACGGCGTTGTTCTTGGACATCCTTTTGCCGCGCTTTATGAAGGATGTGGACAGCGAGGGCGCGAGAAACTTGAGATCAGTCGTTCAGTTGGTGTTCTTGCTCAGCCCGGTTGCGAACATACTCATTTACTGCTTCCGTACGACTGAGCTGAGACTCACAATTAGTAAGCACTTCAAGAAGACCTTGCGTAAGGTGCATTCATGTCCAAAAATCAAAGTTCACGGTTTAGGTTGTGGTTTGAATGATGCTTAACAAAAAAGTCAAATCTTCATGCAAGGGATACAAACGTTTATTTCGTTTACTAAATGTACAATTTATGTACGCTATGGTTCCTCTGTATCACGTTTTATAACAAGGCATTGTTTTGGTTGTGCAGTTATATACAGGGCTCCATTGCTGAGCAGATTACTTTATATCCAATTAGCTGGATATATCCAATGATGAAGTTATAAATCAAATTATTAATTACATCAATACAAGACTTAGATGTTATGATATTGCTTTCTTCAGGTAATATGGAAATATGTAGTTTGGAATTAATGTCCTGCTCAATGACATGAAAAGAATTAAGCTCTATCTCTAAATCACTCGGAATATTCTTATTCTCATCTCAGACCCTATGCCTGGCTTGGCCTGAGTAGTTCTTGGGTTTGCAACCACCTTGTACAAAACTCAAATTTGTCGGCTGTTGTGGAGGTACATTGTCATTAGAGGGCAGTGCAGCGAAAACCATCGTCCTGCACTCCAATGTTCCAATGTCTGTTTAAAACGTAGGCTTTCGTGACCACTATATCTATAATACAGGTATTTTATGGGTTAGATCGCGTAAATATATAAATGTGTCGTTAAACCCGCCACCACCCGACACAGCCAATTAGTAAGGCTTGTCGCGTAAATATAACATGCCAATTCGTTACTCGTACAGCACATTGCTATGTTGGAGAACCAAGCCACAACATTTACAATCTGAGTACGACGTTTCGCCAGTAATTACAACTAGCTTCATCAGGTGACAGTCAGATTTGTGAAGCCCGCCTGTTTCGTTCCTTAAATAGAGGCGTAGATGTGATGCCAATACCGCCTGCTACCAACCACCAACCCACACTAACTAGCCTGGTCAAGTATGGCAACCCATTCAGTGTTAGGGTCTCTTTTTTACGATCAGAGAAAACAATACGATTCTCGGTGTAGTCGGCACTTTGCTTCGTTCATCATTTCGTTTTATTAATGCTTTGCTATATGTAACCCCCCCCCCCTTTTTTAATGCAAGATTTCTCTCTCTCCACTCTCTCCACTCTCTCTCTCTCTCTCCACTCTCTCCACTTATTTTTTTTAGCCAGCAGTGGGTTGGCAAGCATAAACATATTCAGGGGACCCTTGAATATCGCAGGGAGTTACGTTCTTGGAAACTGCGGCGAAAGCCAAAACCGCGATATTCAACACTGAAGCCTTACCAAAATAATAGGGTTAGGTACACGGTGACCAAAACAGACATCACAATTAAAATAAGTACTGTGCTGTATGCCATATAAATTTAATAATTGAAATAAACATGTAAAAACCCTATTAAAAAAACATTCCTAGACAATAACTAGATGTATAAATACTACATAAATACTGCACCTACCAATGATGATGATGATCCAAAGTCGGTGTGTTTGTCCACGAGCGGGCAGTGGTGGTGCTGCAGTTAGCACTACGCTTCCCTACGACTCAGACAACCCGAGTTCGATTCCCGTTCACGCCCCACACCGGTGACGACTATCTGAGTCGGTCCCGGGCCTCCCCTAGGTCGACTCAGCCTTAAGTGAGTACCCGGTAGGGCTGAACGATTAATCGATTTCAAATCGAAATCACAATTTGAAAAAATGCGATTAGCAAATCGCAAAGGCTGTGATTTTTTGCGATTTGAAAAGTCCTATTACTTTCTTATTGGGATTGTTTTATTTTTTATTGTTACAACTTTATTTATTTAACTTAACAATTGGTCTGTTTGATTGTTCTATTTCAATTAAAGCATGTTTATAAAAACATGTTGGAAGTAATTCATATATTTTAAGTTGTCATCCTTGTATTAGAATATATAGAGGAGTTTATATTTTGATGGAATCATGATGGTATTGTGTGGTAATGCTCCATCACATGCTGGAAATCTATTACACAGTGAATGTTGAACTGAAGCTTGACTTTATTTTTTTCTCAAATCAAATCGCAATCGCAATATGTCAGAAAAATCTCAATTTGATATTTTCCCCAAATCGTTCAGCCCTCGTACCCGGTGCTATGTGTAAACATCTCCCCAGCGGGGAGACAAAGGCGGTCGGGTGTGGTGCTGGCCACCCATCCCCTCGTGTGCCGTGCCGGCCTTCATTCGGTGTTCCTCACTAACAGCACTTGCTCCAGCGGTCTGTTAAGTATACACGGGGGATTTTTGTCTCCATGACCCTCCCCCAATCCCCCTCCCTCATTTCCTTCCCCCACCCCCAATTATTCCCCCATCCATTGCACCCCACCCCTCATTCTCCCCAAACCCCCATTCCCCCCCCACCCCGCCCCCCATTCCGCACACCGCTCTCCACCTCGTTCCCAACCCCATTGCATCCTCATCCCCGCCCCCCAACAATCCCTGCCCCATCAATTCCCACCCCCTCCCCATCTGTCCCCTCCTCCCGGCACAATGATAAACTTTGACCCGTAATGCCAGCACACAATGACCGACTATGATTCATCTTTTTGTTAGTCGTTCCATACAAAAGGTACAGTGCTACTGCTATTGGCCAAACATCCGAATGTAAAAAAAGCTAAATCATCATATACAAATGGATAAGTTGGCATGGACGTGACAACACCGTCCCCGACTACGATAGCTTGTCAGGATTCTCCTAAAATGGTGCATTGAGAGGAGGTGAGTCCATCGCGGTGTAAACGAGGTTAACGATAAAAAAGTGTTGGACCCAGAGGATGCACCCAGACATTAAGCGAGCGTAGGGATGGCGAAGATGGCCAGACACAGCACGGGCAGAGACGACAGCCCCTTGAGACCCTGGGACCGGCTGTCCGTATCTCATCCCAATCCTCAATCATGGCGAGTCAAGTTTGGACAAGAGACAATTGAAGAGGCGCGTCGAGCACCACCGTCGGTATATATTATTCTTCCAAAACTCATTAAAAAATATCAAAATTTCTGATGTTTATTTCTATATGTATTTGTTTAGCCTCTCTCATTGTAATGTAATGCACTTGTAGCCGGTGAGAGCTTCCCTGTAATGAATCGCACGTATAAATGTGCAGTCTGCTACGTGTTGCTGTAATTGCTAAGGAGAGCGAGGTGTGTTTTTTTCTAATTATAAGTGTTGGCAATGATGATCAGAGAAAGGACCCCAAGCCGTAGGTGCACAGCAGGCCACGTCCAACAGTGTGTAGACTATTCTGAGTACGAGGCACACAACCAGTTCAGATTTGGGGTGAACTGCGTAATGGTGGGATTACATGAGCTCTGATAAAATATCAAATATAACTTAAGTTAATATAACTTTAATGTTAATCGACTGATAGGAACTCGGTCATGTTAATTGACTGTTTATTGCGTTATTGGTGGTGATAAAGATATTCACATAACTTCGATAGTAGAATTCATTTAAACGTATAAAATGCTCAATTGGGGCTGGAATATGAGTAACACTGGTGCTCAATCCCATCAACAGAGGCACTGAGCTGAGGTGTTGTGTGACGTGGGGGGGGTGATCGGGGTGTAACTGATCGTGATTGCAAGTTGTGAGCTGTACACTTATTTAGAGTTACAACATACAGTACCTGTCAATTCAGACCTTATTGGTCACCCCGTGCGCTTTTAAAATCCGCCAGTCCTATCACAAGGGAGAAATAAAAATTATATTTTTTTTGCCCGTATTGAAACGGCTGTACGCCGTATGGATCTGAAAACTCAGTTTCGCTGTACAAGAACACTGGTAAACCGTATGGGTTGACACGTATGCTACTATACACTATTATACTGGACACTATACTATATACACTAGTATACACTGAACTATTATATATCACACTGCTATACACTATACTATATTTACTACTATAATGAGGCAAGAATGTCTGTGTGTCCCGTGCGTGACATCATTCACGTCGGCTAGCCCCCCTCATTAATAATCATGAACAGGTGACGTCCTCCACATGGACCCCCTCTCATTAATAAAAATTAGCGGGTGACATCACTCCACATGGAGGGGCGAGGCGCGTTCTCCCCCCTCCTCAACGTCAACTTACAACCCTCACTATAAAGGCAGAACCCTCACGTCACGCGGTCTCCTTTCCGCGATTGAGACATCAAAGTAAAAAGGACGTCATGATAAACAGGGGGTTATAACCTTTAAATTAAATAAGTCTGTGTCACCGCGGCCTTACAAATTGCACACGATTTGATGCAATTAATATCACGTCGCGGTCTGCTTTTCGCTTGCAAGTTTCAGATTTACTGCAATACACCCGTCCTTGGACGGGTGTATTGCAGTACACTACTGCATACTACAACTACTATACACTACACTACTACATATCTGTCAACCCCTTATCAGTGCCTGCCTTATTAAGACCATGCCCTTAAAAACCTCAACATTCAACCTACAGTCCCACCTCAAACAAATAGACAAAAACAGTTTTACACCAGATCACGCACGCGCTACCAGCTGGATCTGAGGTGGGAAGTTTATTGTTTTTCACACACACGGTTATTCTGTCATTGTGATTCTGATGCATACCTGTTAACCAATTAACAGTGCCTAGCTTATTACAGACCGTATTGGTCATCCCGTGCCCTTATAAATCTGCAAAGTCCCATCACAAGGGAGAAACACAAACAAATAGACAAACAAAAATAGTTTTTTTCCCCGAATTGAAACGGCTGTATACCGTATGGATCTGAAAACTCTATTTCTCTGTACAAGAAAACCAGTAAACCGTATGGGTTGGTAGCTATGTTACAGTGTATTGTTTGCCTTTTTATTTCTTTTTGCGCGGGAAATTTAATACGATAGCGTCGCCCTCGTGGTGACAGCTATTTATATTCACGGGTGTCAATAACTCACTTATTTTGGTAAATCCAAATCGAATCAATAGACGTAACGGAGTTGAAAGATGATCATAGTGTTTTAGTGATGGTCATGATTGCAAGTTTTGAGCTGTACACTTACTGAAAGTTACAGTGTTATTATTTGACGTTTTTTGCGCGGGATATAACT